GCAGGATAATGCTACACTGCAAAAATTGTTTATGGATGATGGGTATAAGAACTGGACCATGGAGCAATGGAAGAAGGTTGCCTGGTCTTATGAATAACATTTTTTTTTTAAATCAAGTGGATGGCCTGGTGCATGTGCATTGTTTATTCAGGGAATAGATGGCCAGGGAAGAAATGCACTATGGGAAGAAGGAGGCAGTGGTATGCTCTGTGTAATGTTTTGCTGTGAAAATTTGGGTCCTGGCATTCATGTGGATGTTACCTTGACATGTACCACCTGTCACGGCAATGGTGTATAATTTTTTATTACACTATGGAATATCATCTTTTAATGAAATTTGTGTAGTAAATGGCACAAATTACAGAGATGCTATTGCTGAGGTCAACAGGGGTTACATCTTTTGAAGCTGGGACCCCCACAGAGATCAGATGACAGAAGGGGTAGTGTGAATGGCATAGCAATGTGAAAAGGATTTTACTATATGGATGTGAAGTAATCAAGGATCAGCAAGGTGTGAGGTTCTATACTTGGAAACAGTCTGAATGTCTCTTCATCCATTTGGCATGTACCTTGTAAAGGATAGTTCAATCATTTGAAATGGTAATGGGATTCGTTTCATGAAGATCCTTGTGTTCCAGTATCTTATCCAAGTGAAACATTAATACTTACCCACAGGTTAATAATTAAGCCTCATTTTTATTATATTTGGAATGGGACAAGCCCAATCTTTTAATTAAGTCCAAACATGAGTTGCACAACTTAAACCGTGTGGCAGGATTTGTGATGTCCGTCCTATTGGATCATGGGCAGGGCGTGCAACATGTCTTTGGAATGGGAAAACAATAACAAATTCATAGAGGCAATTATTATTTCTGTGGCAAGTACAGTAGAGGAGATAAAACCAAAAGTTTGTATGTGGCTTGTTGGTTTCTGGAACAAAGGAGGTGGTCACTTAGTATCCCTATTGCTCCACCCCTGGATGAGGCGTGGCAATTCACAGGGTATATCTCCTGTGATTCTGAAGGGTGTTGGTGTACTTGCTTGGGGCCAAGATCTAATTTTGAGTGAGTCACCATCTTTCCTTGCCAGAGACCCCCTGGACAGAAGTTGTACTTTGAAAACCTAAGTGAGTAATTAGGACTTCTGTATTTTATCCTTTTTGTTTTTATCTGTTGTTGGTGTAAATAATTTGTTTATCATATATTGTTATATGCACTGTGACTATCTTTGCTCATAATAAACATTCATTTATTAAGTTTTGCCTTTGTCTGGTTAAGAATCACGTTACCTGAAGAGACTAGTTAGTATTTTTATAATTCCTTAAATATTGTGCTAAGTAATATTAGCTGGGTTTTATTATTGATTTACCTGGGGGACCAAGGCACCCCATTTATAAATTGTCTTGGTGGCAGCGTTAAACTAGTAATAGTTATAGTAGTATGTTTAAGTGTGGGTGGTGTTAAAGGGGGATTTTGTCATTATTTCCGGTCTAGTGCAGACAAATAGTGAACTTTAACCCTTTCACAACCACAACTACGTCACGCGCATTCTTGGAGTAGTGTGTGTTCGTGACACCACCTACCTAGAAATTGTTGCAGAAACCCTTTCATGGCAGTGACATCTTTCAGCAGGTTAATGTGCCTTGCTACAGTGTAACAATTGTTCAGGGATGGTTTGAGGAACATGACAATTAGTTCAAGATGTTACTTTGGTCTCCACATTCCCCAGATGGAGCATCTGGGGGATGTGTTGGAACAACAAATCTAATATGTGGATGCCTCACTTTTGATCTTAAGGATCTGCTGCTATGATCTTGGGGCCAGATACCAGAGGACACTTTCAGAGGTCTTGTTGAGTCTATGCTTCATTGTAACAGGATTAGTCATTAAAAAGGCTGATAAATGTGCAATTGAGGCACATTTATCAGGTGACTTTTCTCTTTAAGTAGTTGACCCATTTTGGGGGGTTTGTCTGTTAGTATTTCATCTCGTATTAAATCCAGTCAAAATTAGATAACAATATCAAACAAAACCAGTCAATAATTTTCAGCTGGGTTTTGATGAGAGGTTGTAATCCAGGCCTTTCATCTTAAAATAACCGTAAGCTATCTAAAAATTTTATTTTAAAAAAAAATGTAGTTTTATATTCCATTGATTATCAGTTCTTGCCCCAGGAGTTCCTGGCTTTCCTATTGGAAGCAGAGATTGATAATGCAACACGGTAAGACCACTCATTTGTGTCTCTCCAAATTACCTCAGCCATGTTCAAGCCTATGGAACACCTGTGGAGGCTTATGAGTCTTTGTTATTGGATAAAGATATACTCAAGATGGCTATTGATTTGCTGTCAAAATACTTTGTAGAGAAAAACACCTGAGTCTATTCCCGGTAACAATTTGGGAAGTGCATAAAAGCCTAATCCGCACACATCTCATCTCACTCTGCACGCTACAGAAGAAGGCCCAATCTGAAAATACTTCTGAACATTCTAAATAAGATGGCATCTTAGGAAACTCAACATAAATGGACACTTTCAGAAAATTACTTGAGGGGTCTGCTCTTGGCCAGAAAGGAACTTGTGACCATTTGACCAAACAACATCCCTTACTACATCAGAAGTCAAGACACTTTTTTAAGAGCATTGAAATAAATGTGGCCAGTTACTTGCCAGGATGTTACGAAAGTGGCAGGATTGCTTTCATTTTCACAGACTCAAGTTGGGGACTAACAGCACTACCACCTTCTCAACAAAAAATTGCTGCCTCATTCAATAAATATCACGTCTCTGTATACTATCTCATCAGACGTCCAGAGGAAGTGGAGGTAAGGCCAGCAGGCGTGGAAGCATACCTCTCAGGCAAACTCTGAAACCAGAAGCAGAATCCCTCATAGAGGCCTAGATCTCCTTAGATGAAATTCAGGTGGTATTAAAACATTCAAGACAGGCAGAGCTACAGGACCAGATGGGTTTACACTTATGTATTACAAGATGTTCGGAAAGGTCTTGTTGAATATAATTTGATTAGGCTACTCAACATTATTCACCTGCCAGGTCATCACATCGTCCCTTGGCCAGCCTCTCCACTGTTGTTACTTTGTGTAGGATTTGGATACGAGAGCCCCTATTTTAATCAAGCGTTAGTAAATATGATATTTGTCATTGCATTTTCACCAGTTTTTGTCCAGTGTTTAGTGAAATAAAGGCAACACTACTACATCAGAGAGGACAGTTCTAACATTGCAGAACATGAGGACTCTGTGTACTGTATCTATTTTACTTTGTTTATTGTTTTGTACATTTATATAGTCACCAAACTGTATTTTGAAAAATAATATGATAGCAGTGCACATCTCTCATTCTTTAATTAAGAAAATATATATCAAGGGTAAACTTGAGGGTTAAAAACATTCCCTTAGATTAGTAAAATATTTTATATATTTAAGAAACAATATTTCATATCACTTCAAGTTTTAAAACTAGAATACAAATACTTATTTTAATTGAGCTGCATGTTTGGTACTGGTATTGTTTATCTCCACTTGTATAAACAAAACATATATAGAAACAGCTTTGTACATCCATGTAATGCTTGCTTTTAAAAACATACAGTTTGTATGTACTAAAATTGAAGTTGTCTATTGTAATAAAAACTGTTTGTATTCCACATTTCCTCTATGAAAACTTAAAGCATAATGTATCTGGCATAAGCACCCATATGGTAAAAAACATTCTAATTTACATTTAAAACAAAATAATAGATGTACCATGGTCGAGTAAAGAGAAAAGAGACAGAACAAGTGATTTGCTGTGACTGTCAACACTGATGAAGGTGAAAAAAGAATTTCACCTTGAGAGTTCCAAGGGATATGAATAGGTGGTGGTAGTAAGGATAAATGAAAAGCCAATGCAGTTGGACAAACACTTGTCCGGAGAGACCTGACATAAGCTATTAGAATTCACTTCACGGTTCTCATTTTCACACTAGCACAGAGAGAACGTTAAAAGCTCATGTAACAGGCTATCAATGCAGCTTAGACAGTTTGGGCAGCACCCTCCACAGTAGATTCTGAGTTATGGATTAGCATTGTGATGGATTTTAAGAGAATTCCAATAAAATACTTGATGGAAAATAACTGAGTGCTCATGGTTCTTCTGCCGTCTGTATTAACCTGGCCCTGCCATTGCCTTTCTGTCAGGACAAGTCTTTCATATAAATTATTAACACATTAAAATGAAACTTGGTGCTGTTAGATTTCACATTTTTTTGATCAGTTTTGAATGGCTATAGTGAACTGTAACAAAATGTAATTAAACAATGGACTCTGCTTATGTCTTGACAGTTCTTTTAACAGGTGTTTTAAGTTATATTGACAGCTGTTTTAGCTATACTGAAGAATTCATTTAATTGTAAAACAAATTTTAAAGCAAACGTAAGGACTATATAGCAATATTTTATAAACGTAGAAATAGAGTTTCATTATAAAAATAGATAAATGGAAAATGTGCAGATAGTAAACAAAAAATAAACACAAATGATGTCATGACCAGGGATAAGAAATAAAAAAACTCCTGCATACTGCAATAATTTTTAGTCATAAGTCGCACGTATTAATATATTGATGTTAATTATAAATAGTTACTAATAATAACATTAATATATACTTTGGATTTTTGTATGGGACACACTGATGCCAATGTGCATTAATAGACTCATTTTGGCTTTTTGCTTACATGCTTTCTCCCCCCTAAACAGTTAATATCCTCAGTCCAAACAACTGCTGCTCAACTCTGCTATATTAAGGTAATGCTGCCACTGCCGCTGCTGTTAGAAGTAGGCAGTGACAACATGAAGGTTCAATACACACATCTTCTCAACTAGCATGCCTCTCTTTCACTGCAAATCATGGGCCATGTAAATAAATGTCTCTCCTGTATGCCAGGAAAGAATGTACCTAGTCCGTAGACTAGGTACACATGTGCGTTGCGGGGTTAATCAGGGGTCAGATCGTGTCGGGAATATCATTGACCACGCAGGCATTTAGCAACAGCTGTTGCTGTGCCCTCGTGCGTTTTTCAAACAGGGGGTCCGCGCAGACAGTGCTCTGATTGGAGCAGTTGTCCGCGAGGGTACACCTAGGCGGGAAAAGCAAGTATTTGACGCCCTGAGGTAAGTTCTTGGCGCCAGAAGAAAGAAGATATAGTGACAATAGATATATTGATAGTCAAGATATATTGACTGACAATAGTGGTAGCCCTGGAGGTTTGGGTTTCTGAATTGGCCAACAAAAGGATAATTTTTCATTGTGATAATTTAGGAGTAGTTTGGGTAATCAATTCCCCTAGTGCAAAAAATATCCTAGTCTTAAATTTATTGAGACATTTGGGTTTTATTTGCTTGGTTAATAACATATGGGTGAAAGTAAAGCATATGTAGGGTAAAAATAACTGTATAGTTGATGCTTTGTCTCGTTTTGATTTCAAGTATTTCAGATCTCTGGCACCCCTAGCGGATGAAGTTGGAACGAGCTTGCCAGAAAGCATTTGGGAGATAACTTCACCCAGATAAGTCATTTGCTGGGTTTATCATTGCCTGCATCTACTTGGGTAGCATATCTGAAAGCTTGGGATGATTGGCAACAGTTTATGAAAAAAATTGGATAAGGATGCTACTGATCCTACTTTACAAGATGGAATTAAATATGTTTTCACTAAACTTCAGGTTGGTGTATCCAGATTTTCTTTTAAAAGAGCACTGTTAGGTATTTCATTTTTTCTAAAAGTACTGGATAAGAAGACGGTGTTTAGGGAATTCATTATCCAACAAATGTTGAAAGGGGCTTGGGGAAAGAAACCTCAAGTACTAGATAATAGGTCCCCTATCTCCTTCCAGCTGTTGGGTGAATTAGTTAAAAATCTGAGCTCCGTTTGTAAGGATGAATTTAAGACCCAACTCTTTATGACTGCTTTTGTATTGGCATTTTTTGAGCTTTCAGGATTAGTGTGCTTGTTTCTGCTAACAAGTCTTGCCATTCGGGTATACAGTTCGGTGACATTGTGTTACAGAATGAAAAGCTAAATATCATATTAAGAAGATCAAAAACCGATCAGTTGGGAAAGGGGCATTGGGTACAATTGAAGGCTATTTGCCACAGGTTATGTCCAGTTAAGGCTGTTAAGGCTTACTTAAATATTCGCCCCAAAGTTCAGGGCAATTTTTTGTTACACCGATCTGGAATTCCCTTTATTAAATTTCCATTTTGAAACGTTCTTCAACTGTCTTGTAAAAGTCTAGATATCAATGATAAAAGGATTACCTCCCATTCATTTTGCATAGGTGCTGCAACGGAAGTGGCAGCAAGCGGTCTCTCAGATGAAGTGGTCAAGAAAGTTGGTCGTTGGTCCTCAAGTAGATTTAAAGTTTATGTTAGACCTTGATGTTTCTAGTTTACTAACTTGTTTCTTCCTGTTTCAGATTCGAGACCTGTGATTGTGTGATTGTGTGGATTGTAGGCCATTCTTTCGTCCACTGGGCACACAGAAGAGCGGTGGATAGGTCTTATGGCCAGAACTTAAGTTTTGATTATGAGTCTGTTATGATATATTGGGTTGGTGTAAGGGGTCTATTGAGAGAGGATGTTTTTCAGGTATTACAAGATTGGGCCGGTCGGATTGGGTGGCCACAAGTAATTATTTTTCATTATGGAGGTAATGATGTGGGCCAAGTTAAATCAGTAATTTTGTTCCATCAATTTAAGGATGACTTGCTACATTTTCAACAAATGTTCCCTGGATCATTAATTATCTGGTCTGAAATAATCCCTAGATTAATTTGGTTGTGCAGTGCGAAATTTAGGCATAAGCTGAACAAAGCCATGGAGAAATTTATGCCATCAATTGGTGGTTTTTTTTCGCCATGTGGATATTGAGGGTCAGTGTGAAGGGTTGTATTTGAAAGATGGTATACATGTCTGATGTTGGATTGGATATCTTTAATAATGCTTTGCAGTGTATGATCGATAAGGCTGTGGTCTGGTGGGGTGTGCTGCAGCATTAGTTCATGCTGAAGCGTGTGGGGTTGAGGTCACCTGCCTAATTTAAAGGGGGGTGGATAAGCTGAGTTTATGATCATTTGGCTAATAGGGTGGAACTCTGGTAATTCTCTGGGGGTTTAAATACTGGAGATTTTTGGTGAATGCTCTGGGGGTTTAAACACCAGAGTTGGTTTGGTTATAAAGTTGTTAAGTGTTGGTTGTATTATTTTAAAACTAAATAAAAGACCACAGCCTTTTCTGCAACATTTCTGAGTCTGTGTCTTATTTATTATTATGTATCTATATGTTTGTTTCATTGTTTATTATTAAGGTTATTTACCATGTATAAGTCTGATTTAACTGATCACAGAGAGGACGGCATTCTGGTCACTAGAAGCAATACAAAAATCTGTGTTGAAGTGTACCCACAGATGTATAACCCTAGCCAGCTGCTCTTACAACCCTAGCAAGCATGTAGGAATGGTACATTGATTGGACCATTATACATGCTTTCCTATGGGGGAAGTACTAATGCGACTGTGGCACATGTGCATTAGGTCTCCCCTGCCAACCGATATCAGTGGGGGAGGAGCAGAGGTGGAGTCTGAACCCGTGCAGAGGGACATCCCTGCTGGAATTAGGTAAGTACTACACTTCTGGGGGAGGGAGACCGTGACAAAAAAACGTATTTTCCTGGTATTATAGTTTCCCTTTAATTTTTTTAATTATTAACTATTTGTTTTTATTTCATCTTTACTAAATGTGTACAATACAAAACATTCATGAAACATTTGTATATGTATGCATAGGGAACTCACTCAAAAAATAATTATGTAAGCAGGCAAGTAGTATCAGGTAATGACAGCTTAGTTAAACTAATAATTAAGAAAATAATCCCCTATAACTGTAAAACTCACAAGTTCCCAACTGAACACAAACATCACAAAAATTTAAAAAAAAATCAAGAAAGAAAAACAAATAAAAAAAGAACCAACATTTAAAAAAAAAAACATAAATAAACAAGTAAAATCCAAGCCCCTGAGGTGTATACCCCACATCTACCCCACATCTCTACAAAACTCCTGTGTGCCTCTACCCTTTTTGTCCCAAGCCTGCTTACCTGCACCAGCCTAAGTTTTGTTTTCCTATCTCCAGCTTACACTTGGGAGAGATCTTCTGTGGTTGCTGCTGCTACTCACCATTCACACACACTGTGCAAGTGCTCCATGTGAGAGGAGAGAAGGGGGTGTGATTTCACTTCCTGCCCCCTGCCATCCTCACACGGTGTACTGCTCGGTCTACAGGGAGAGAGAGAGGAGAGAAAGGATAACCCAAGATAGAAATCAATAAGAAGAGTAGTACAAACTAGTGAGAAACAAGCCCTAACCCAATCCTATTACCCTTATTAAAGTACTAGTCCAACATTGGAATGAGAAAACATTAAAATTGTATAATTCACATCTTTATTAAATCCCTATAAGGATGATAAAAAAACACACACAAAAAAAGTGCCAAAAAAAGTGATAAAGTGAAAAAATAGAAAATAAATAAAATTGGACAAGTAGATGGATCCTATATAGATAGTCAGAATGATCTCCCAGCTTGGAATTAGACTAGAAAGAAGGTGAACGTAACCTGATACTATGTTGTAAGATCAGACTGAAATCTTGCCTCCATTTTCATGAAATTCAATTTGGCCTGGGAAATTGCACAAATTGATCAGATTTGTCCTGACAAGATCCTCTGATTGTTCACGTCTCCCTCATATCTTTAATTACTATCTCTAGCTATTATTTTTACTAGGCTAAGGGAGCATTGAAATATTGGTATTACCTTAACCTCCCTGATGGTAATCCCGAGCATGGCTCAGGGTTAATTTTCAGTACCGAAAGCAGTAATCCCAAGCCACACTCGTAATTACACTGTAGTATCACTTACCTTGTCCCTAAGAGCCCCTGGTGTAAAGAAATACACACAATACATTGTAAATACAATGTACCGCTTTAACATTAAAAAATACTGACATAATCAGACCACCAGGGGGTTAGACAGAGCCTCTCTAAGATTGACCTTTCTACTATCCCTTTGCAGAATTGCCCGTTACCAATGATATGCCCTTCAGACAGCTCAATCATTAGACCAGAATTATACTATAGGAACCAGACAATGTTTCGACTCTCTATGGGTATCTCTATACTTTACCCTGTCATAGGGAACCCCTTTCTGGAACACAGTTCTAGGTTTCATAAGTAAATTTATGCATCTCATATATTCCCTCACACCAAACCAGGTGCTCTTTGGCTGGCCTAGGATCTATCCAGACAATCATATACAAACACTATATTGGTTCCTATTGGATGCAGCCAAATCTTAAATCACCTCTCACTGGAAATAGCATGGTCCCTACCTTTGAACATTGGGTAGCCAATGTGGAATCAGGGCCGGCGTGTCCTATAGGCGACTTAGGCAGTCGCCTGGGGCTCACCGGCCCGGGGGGCACAAGATTCGAGGGACCAGGCAGGAGGAAAGCACACTGCATTCCCTCCTGCCAGTCGCTCAGTGTAGCTTGGCCAGGCAACGAGGACCATGGTACAGAAGCTTCCTGTACCTGGAGCTTCCTGTACCTTGCCAGACTGAAAGGAAGTGCTCTCTCAGTGAGCACTTCCTGTCAGTCTGGCCGGGTACAGGAAACAGAAGCTCCTGTACCGCGGTCTGCACTGCCCGGCCACACTACAATGAGGGAGGAGGCACACTGCTTCTCAATCATCCTTGACATCTGAGTGACTCCACAATGTATTGACATTGACTCACCATATTTTCTAGCGCTAAATCTAAAATATAATCAAATGATGTACCACCACACCTTATGTTTTCTTTTTTACTCTTTTGGTTATTTCTTAACGTTCAATTGCCAACTTGTTCTCTCACTTACAATCACATTAATACATATTTGTTTTTCTTATAAACAATGTTTTTGCTATTGTAACATTTGTATGTGGCATTCTCTTTTGGAACAGTTAGTTCCTCATTCATGTACCACAATGTTTGATTCTTATTGTAGTGCTGTGATGTCACTGTATCTCTGTAAAACATATAAAAATACAAAAAAAAAATTATGCTTAAAATCAGATTGTCTCCTCGGTGGTAAATCAGACATAACAGACAAGCTGCTAATTCCACTAACCTGGTGGCAGCAACGGTGGTGGTGGAGGCAGCAGTGGAGGAGGTGCTAGCAGTTCCTGTGGCTTAAGAAGAAGTGTTTAGTCTTTCAGAAGCTATATAACTACTTCTGAAGGTGGATTGGGCATGACCCATTCCCTTTCCCTTCTTCGGTCTCTTTTTGGGATTAGAATGCATTGATGATAGTGGAATTGTTTTTCTTATTATATAATATTAGGGATGTTAATGATCTTGTAAACTAACACAATTTTATTTAGCAAAACTAAGTGTTGATGTTGGAAAATGGGTTGGGGCTTGGTGGATTTACTACTGTGTTATTGAGTTTGACTTTAAGAAACACTACACCAAATACAGCACACATTGCACTGTTCAGTGCTTGAACACTAACACAGCACATACTAAACTGAATATATTCTAAATAATAAATTAAAAAAGGAAAAACTGTAAATTGGTGATTCCAAGTTGATGTTAAGTTGCTTTCATGGGGAGTGCAAACCTGCACTTTAACCATAAACAATAGTGTCACACTGGAATGAATGAAATAAACTATCTCTACCACTCAAATGTGGGTAATATTGTAACTTTGGGCTCTGTTTGGCAACAAAACCTATTTAAATCCCATGATGAGGTAAGTGGATTATGACATGGATATATAGCATATTTATTTGCACCACAAACTCATTGTAGTTAAAATACTGAGTGCAATACATTATTCCATTTTGTCCTGGAATTTGAGCATAATATCTGTCATTGTGCTTTGTTGGAAACTAAACTGGCTAATGTTTCAATCCTGATGTTGCTTTCCCCTTTCGTGCCTGTTTAATTATTATTATTATTCTACAGAGCATTGTATTCACTCTTCCACATTACACAAAGGGACACCATCCATAGAGTATTTCATTTTACATAATGTGATCCACTGAATCTTACTGAAAATGAGAACTCTCAATGTATTTTTCCTGGTAAAACATAAACAAACGTAGCAAAATTAATAGCATTGCAAAAAATGCTTTTTTTTAATTTGAAGACCCTCAAGTTTAGGTATGCTTGTGTTCTTTGTCTGTACTAATGCTCGCATACTATATTTGTTTAACCTTTTAACCCCTTAGTGACCAAAGCTATATTGAGATGTAACGTGTGTCTGACCAAGGACATTTTGGCACATATGTAATATGTTTTCTGTTTAAGTTCATACATATGTCATATCATTTTTTAAAGGAGGAATATGGATTCATGTTACTATCTGGTTGGCATGCATAAAACGATATTAAAAATGAATAAAATATATAAAAATTGGAAAAAAATTAGACAAAAAACATTGTTTTCTCGGTTTTACATTTAATATTTTTTTACAAAACAAGTGCAACTAAAGAATATTAATAAGATAAATCCATTAATTAGTTTGTGTAACGGACCGTTTTGCACAAAAGGGGAAAAAAGGGTTTAACAGTCGTTTAGGAGATCTTCCCCTTCCAGAGATATAGGCACAGCTACTGCAGAACACCAAACTCCCGAACTGGATACAAAATAGCACTCCAACTCCCGAACTGCAACCTCCCAAATAGCTGCTAGCAGACGAACAGGAAAAGCAGACAATCAGCTTACACTCCTGGCAATCAGTCTCTAATAGCATACAGTGAATCCCCCCAAGAATGAGACAAAGCTCAGTGTTGAGGGTCAAGCAGTGAACAGACAGAGCTGTGGGTTTATTGTGCTTATGTACACATTTTTACACATTAGTACCACCCACAGGGTTTTGGAACACAACCAATAAACACATACAATACACTCAGACACTCCCACACAAATTCCTCCCCTCTGCCTGTGATACAATTAACTTACACAATTGGTAATTTAATTAGCACAAGCAGAGAAATACAATTTTTCCACATTATTCATAACTTGAAAAGTATGCATCACATTCACATTCAGAATCAGCATACTCCAAATACAAACATACGTCAAAATCATACAAATTGGTCCAGTGGTTCAAAAGATAGATGGTAGTCCTTTGTGACCACAGGAAGCATGGCTTTTCTGCCCAAAACCAGTTCCACAGAGTCTTCTATCCTGGAGATAATTAAAAGTAATCCAATTATCTCCAAAGACAGAGGCAAAACTCCATTGAACACATGGCAGCAAAAAGACAGTAAAATACAATAAAATACACAAGGTTACTTTTATGACATAAAATGCAGACATGCAACATATCCCCAGATAGCTCAGATCTGAGCGCACATTATTACTGAATGGCGCTCAGAGCACACACATACAGTTCAATTGCCATGGAGCCAAAGTCTTTCCCATAGTCTTTCATTATACGAATAGCTCCATGGCATAGCTATCTGGGGTATCACTGCTCAAACAGGGCAAGCACCAAATGACCCGGCTTTCTTGTCTTTGCAGGGGAAAATAAAATCTTTTAACATGGGGCCATAGTCCAAAGGCAGCAAGCGAGCAACCAGGCTTCTCCAATGCAATGTGGCGAGATTGGTCTCGTCACAGTTTGGGTTGTTAAAATGCTTAATATGTCTAGAATTTCAACTAATTGTTTTAATTTATAAAACAAATATTGAAATGAGTAAATTTCGGTTTAAAGTTAAACTTTTAAAAAAATTGGCATGCTGACCGTTACAACTTTTGCTTCAGTCACAGAATACAAAACATCTACACAAAAGTAGATATTTGTAGAAAGCCCATCCACCAGGCTCTCTCCCAGAGCATTTAACCATTTTATCACAAATCTCAGTCAATATATTGTTTATTTGTTTTTGTGATTTTTCACAGATATTTTAGTTTATAGAAATTCACAGACCACACGTGTTCCTTTGATGTAAACACCTCTTATTTGACCTGTTCACAAGTACAATGACTCCAGATGTATACATTTTCCCTTAATCTTGCCCTTAATTAAACCCTAATTGTGTCCCTAATCTAACCTGTAATCAAGCCACTAATCCAACCATTAATGCAACCCTTAATCTAACCCATAATCCATCAATATCATTTTCAAAATTCATCCCATACCATAATCCTACCCATAATCCAACCCTTAATTCAACTCTTAATCTAATCACTTAATCCTCCCCATAATCTAACAATAACCCTACTTATAATT